AACCCTTTCAATGCTGGCTAGACCTCCTAAGTAATTAAGATCTATTCTTATGTAATTTTAAATAAAATAACATTTAAACCAGTTCATTAGTCATTTCCTGGAACCATCCAATAAGAGAATCTACCATGTTATAAGCAGATTTTAATTTGTCTAAAAGATATCTAATCTTATATTAGAGCAAATCAATACACCTGGATAAAAACAGCGGTATGCTAACACGTGATAATATCACATTAATATATAATTATTCTTAATTCCACCTGCAGAATGGAATTTTTATAACTATATATTCTTTAGTTAACTAAGATTTCTAAATATGGAAATCTGACCGTGATTTATCCAGTCATATATCATGCTATTAGTAAATTTTAATTAATTTAATTAATTAAATGAAACCAGTATAATTACCAGTTGAGTAGATATTTCATCCGATTGGTAGATAGTCTCAGGAACTTATTTGGATGTCTCTCTGCATGGAGGTGGGTAGGAATTTCTGAGTGTCCTACAGTGTATATCTGTCATAGGCCTCTCTGCATTGCTTCCGACTGCTCACTTCTTTGCTTTCTTTGCATACCCTTCTTCTTTTCTCTTTCCTTTTTCTCCCCTTTGTCCTAACTTTTAAAGGGCCATACTCTCTGTACGCCATTAGTTGCTAGACCAATAGAAACACTGGGGGTGTGGTTATCTAGGGATCGCAATTTAGGTATTTGGTCTATAGAGGGCAGTCTTGTCCCACTAAACATACCTATCCAGGAAAGAGTTAACTTTTCTTGGTGGCTATTTTGACATCATTTTGCTTTATCTTTATAGTGGCCATAACTTACATTTTCTTTCACTTCAAAAGGTTTTCTCTTAGTTTTGTCCAGACTTAGTGTCCGCAATTCCTGCTATAATTTCTGATATGACAGTTCGTAAACTAAGTTTCACCTCTTCCGTACAATGGTACCTTATAAAATTTAGAAAGTAAAATTAAATTATTTAATCTTCTCTGTCACAAATGTCTGGGTTTAGAATTGATTATATTCCATTAGCATTTAGACAGTCTGTCCAACCCCCGTTCTCCTTATCACTTGGTTTGTATATACTATGCATTCCTTTAGCTCTGGGAAAGTGGTTAGTTTTACAGATAGAAATCTTGTGTCTTTTGTTAACTTGGAAATAACAAAATGGAGTCTGCTCTGTTCAGAGTGACTCAGCATATACACTTTTAATTTCTATCATAGCACAAGATGTCTGCCGATATAAATACTCTGACATAACCCCCCTTTAGTGCATTTCGTAGCAAAAATTAATTTAGCTTATGAATAAGCACTATAGAAGTTACCAGACATATTGTGCAATCACATCATTTCTAACATAGGCCCGTGCGTGGAATGAACATTTTTGTATATATTTGTACCTGTAAGAGTTTTGAACTTTACAGTTAGTACAATCAACCATAATATCATTATTATCATAGTACATTGTTTGCATTTGAAAATGTTTTTGGGAGTTACATATGGTATGGTCAATAAAAAGCAAATCTCCATACGTTCCGGATCAATTAAGAGAGGTATAGCGCTCCCCATCTCAAAGGCCAGATTTAATTGCATAGGCTCAATTGTTTCTCCATCCACATTGGCAAGCATCGCATGAACAATATCCTTGGATACAAAGTACAGAGGTATGCGTCCCCCTGCCAATTCAATCATTCCAGTTTGCACTTCGGCAAGAAAAGCAAGTGTGTGGAACAATATTGGGTCATGCAGAAATAGAAGTTCACGCTTAAATAAGTCATGACTTTGGTGCAACTCAGTGGATTTGGCAATTAACTCCGAATGCAAATTTGTTGTAACAACTGTGTCTTCCACAATAGTTAACACGTCTTGGAGAAGTGTTCTTTGCTGGTTTATCACCTGATGAATATCGTTAATGTGTTGCTTTAGCGCATAGATTTCCATATCCAGCTTTTGGACAGTAATGGAGTTGGCTGCAGACATTCCAGTTGCGACAACTGCACCGACAGTGGCACAAACTAATGCAACAATTATAGCGGTGAGTAACCTTTTGGGTCAGTTGCTCATCGGAATAGAACTGGATACAAATGGTTTCCGGGCTTGCTCCAAGATGTTTCGCACACGGTCCTGTGCTCTTTTGAGGTGCATCTGGTACCAAGTCTGTAACTCAGGAAGCTGCATCGATGAAATGTTGTATGCCTTCCCGATGGAAATCTTGGGGTCCAAGCTAACGAACACACATCGGGTCAGGATCCTCTTCTCCGTTAAGATGAACCCTGGTGTCTCTTGAATCAGGATGCCGGAGGATAGTCCCATCTCTGCGATCGGGTCGGTCCGTAGCTCTTGGCACAGGAGCAGTACGATCCAGAAACATGCCACATCCTTCTTTGACATCTTTCGACAGTCACGGATCAGGAACTCGTTTCGGACTTATCTACTAATGATTCAAGGTTTGTTAAGCATACAAACTTATAACAGTGTGACATCACTTGGCCTAGGACAACACATTATTATGATTCATCAACATATGTATTCTCTCTAATTCTATTTTTATAACTTCATCCCTCACTACTTTTATTACTGACTCCTCAGCAATATGCCTATAGCAGTTAAACAAGCTAGTAACCTGCTTAGAAAATGTAGTTATTGGATGGCAAGGAAATGGTTAATGACATGAACGTACATGAGATCATGGCACATCACAACAATTCACATCATACGATACCACGTGAATCAAGCATTCATCCAGGTTAGTCGTTCACCCTTCTGCATCTGAATCCACACCTATAATCCTTAATTGAGATTTAGGATGACAAGCACGCAACTGGTTAATGTGAACCCACTTTTCAATAAAATCACCATCCTTAGGAATTTTTATCTTATACGCTACTGGGGAAATTTTGTCAATAATGACATATGGCCCTTTCCAAGAAGGTAAAAATTTATTTTCCTTGACTTGATTTCGCGCAAAGTTATACAGATAGACTTGATCTGTAATCTCATATTCCTTTTTCGTGGTTTTTAGATCGTAATAGGTCTTAAACCCTGTCGCTGCTTTTTCTAGATTCTTTTGGGCAAAAGCAAACGCATGCTGTAAATGCTTGCGCAAATCTTCGATATACTGATGCGTAGTGGCAGCATTGATCAAGTTATGATCTGAAGTACGATATAGTAAATGCTGTGGTAAAACCATCATCTTTCTTCCTGTCATCAATTCAAAAGGTGACAATTTGGTAGCAGTGCTAGGTGTAGCTCTAATCGCCATTAAAACTAGGGGCAATTTAATGTCCCAATCTTTACCAGACTCCTTAACATACTTCTTCAGAATATTAACGATAGACTGGTTATATCGCTCAACCCCCGCCCCCGGTAGACGCAGCGCGATATGCAATATGTAGCTTTCGTTTAACACCTAGAATGTTCCACATCTTAGCCATTAATTCGCTGGTAAAATGACTACCTCTGTCTGACTCAATTCTTTGAGGCAGACCGAACCTGGAAAAGACATGGTTAATCAACAAAGTGGCGCACACGGTACGCGTGTTCTCTTTACAAGGCAAGCATTCTATCCACTTTGTGTACATACATGTAACGGTTAACATGTATTTGTTACTTCTTGAAGATCTTGTTACAGGACCTATAAAGTCAATTTGAATATCAGACCAGGGTAATGACACCCCCCTCTTCTGAAGTGGTGCACGATGGGTTGGACCATGGGGTTGATATTGCGGACAAATCAAGCATCCCTGACACTATGTCTTAACATCCCTTAACATGTGTGGCCAATATGCATAATCACGCAATATCTCATATGTGATCTTATCACCACGATGCCCAGATGTAGGTGCATCATGTGCGTGTTGGAGCATTAACCCTCTGTATACAGTTGGGACTACCCATTGTTGTATACCATGTTTAGAAGTTCTGACCAGCAACCTATCCATGATACTAAATTGGACTTTATATCTCATCAAGATTCATAAATCTTCATTATCCTTGCAATCCTCATCTGTGATGGGATTGGCAGTAGGGTCTTCTATATGTTTATAGAATATGCCTATGACGGGATCGTTCTTTTGACTAGTAATCAGGTCCTCACTAGGAGCTTCTTGACTTCATTGCACGACATTTAAGTCGGCATTATCTCTAGCCTGTCGTCTAGTTATGGCTTCAATATAAATTGAACCCATAAGATCATCAATGTTTAGGGTTTCACCATTGATGGCTGCTTGTTTTGCCAGTGAATCGGCTAAGTCATTACCATCCTTATCAATACCTTCTATTTTAGAATGGCCTTTGGTTTTCTTCCAATATATGGTTAAACCATTTTCCTTAACCAGTTCATCGATTTTACAAAACAATTTCCCATGTTTAACAGGTTTATTATTGCTCTTCAGCATTTGGTTACGTTTCCAGCTAGGCAGATATTCACGAAACTGTTGCGAACATAGTTGGAATCAGTTATAATAACAAATTCTTTGATACCATATTCTATTGCCATTTGAATGGTCTTATATACTGCACAGAGTTCGGCTATCTGACTGCTTTTGGGACCAATATTGTATCCTATAGATACATTGGGATAATCACCTATCCAGGCGATTCCGATACCTGAAACTAACTTCCGTTCAGCACCAGCGGTGTGGTGATATGAACAACCATCAATGTATACCCACGGTAGTGGTCGACAGTATTCCTCGTCATAAACTTTATAAGGAGATAGCAATTGCTCTTCTAGGAAGTCATCTCCGGTGTTATTATCATCCAGAGATGGAGCAGTACAGTCATGTAATTCTGCTAAACCTTGGGCAACTGGGCTTCTCTTATTATGTTTATATCGGACTTCTAACGGCCATCCCTGTAAGGACAGAGTCCATGCAGTAATCCGACTGTTAGAGAGATTACCATCTCTGATTCTTTCACTCTGCAGATACTGTAGAGGTTGGTGAGCTGTTTCTACAATTATTTTCTCACCTTGGATATAGCTACAAAAATTTTGTAGTGCCCAGACAGTCGACAATAACGCCTTCTCACACGTGTTGAATTTAACTTCAACAGGCGACAAAGTCTTGCTAGCATATGCAATAACTTTGTTTAAACTGTCCTGCTTCTGATACAGAACAGCACTTATGCTTAAGTCGGTATAACCTGTCTCCAGATAGAAGGGTTTACCCCCCTCTGGGTATGCTAAACAGGGTGCCTGAGTGAGCTTCCTCCTCAGTTCACTTACCGCTTGGTCCTGAGGCTCCCCCCAGTTCCAGGTAGTTTCCTTTTTAAGCAGGTGTAATAGTGGTTTAGTTATTTCTGCATAGTTATCTATAAACTTACGGGAGTAGTTAGTCATACCAAGGAACGATCTTAATTCCCTGATGTTTGAAGGTGTTTTAGCCTTTAGTACGGCTTCAACCTTCTTCCTCTGGGGATTTAATCCTTCAGAAGTTACCTCATGTCCGAGGAAATTGACATGGGTGCGACACCATTGCGCCTTTTGTAAAGACAGTTTAATCCCTGCCTCTCTTAACTGAGTGAGAACATGTCTAATCTCTAAGATATGCTTATCAAAGGAAGTGCTTTTAAGCAAGACATCGTCGACATATGATAACGTATACTGCTGCTTTCCAAATGTGAAGGCCAATTTGTATTGGTCTTCATTATGGACTGGTACAGTCCAATATCCCTGCGCACAGTCAATGGCAGTGAATATTTTGGATCCCTGCATTTGTACCAAGCATTGGTCTATGTATGGCGTTGGCCAACCAGACATATAGACGCGTTTATTTAGCTGTCATAAGTCAGCACATAAACGCCATTGTCCATTAGGTTTCAGAATCCCCAAGATCGGATTATTATATGAACTGTGCACTGGACGTATAATGCCCTTTTCCTTTAAATTCTGAATGATGTCTTGTAGACCATCATATGACGCTAATGGGAGTCTATATTGTTTGATAAATACAGGTGGTAAATTTGGATCAGTTTGTATTCTGGCTACGTGGAGGTTAGTTAACCCACAGTCGTAGGAATTTTTGGCAAAAATATCTTGGAATTCCATAAGGATTTCCTTTAGCTGCTGTCGCTCAGCATCGTTGGAGCAACCGTCAGCTAAAGATAATTGCTCTTCTAGCCTTTCCTGAAATCCTGGAAAGATTTCAGGCTGGCCTTTCTCATAAGCTTCTTCAAGCCTAGAAGTTAGGTCAGTTCGGTGTTGACTTACCTTTTCTCTTTGGTTGTGATACTCTTGTGATTCCTGCTCATCGAGCGGATGATCGAAGGTGATAGATGCTTCTTCGATTTTACACGAGCCTTCTTCCACGTTGAAGGGATATACAGATAGGATAGTGAGTAATCCTTCTGGGGAGGAATGGAATATTTGATCGACAATTTCGTCCTCAGTTAAGTATTCTTCAGGGACGAGGCCTATAATTTGGTTTTGGAAACCAAATGTATAGTACTCAGCATCCAATGCTAGACCTAATAATGTTCCTTTTGGTAAACTAACAATATTGGGTGTAACATTGTTGACCATTATATAGGTGGGATTCTTACCAATACTTACCATTGGTGTATGTGTTACCACCATCCCTAATTGTTGTATCTTGTTGGATAAACAGATTAGGGCATCAGAGTTTTCTAATCTTTGACCCTCCTTGACCTGTAGGGGTAAAAGAAAGTTACTTGTCCCTTGTGGAATGGTTATGTCATCAGGAACTTGGATACTTAACGCATATGGGAGTATTTGTCCTGATTTCAGGGCGTTTTCCTCGTGTAGGTATCCACAAGGATTACCTTTTAACCTTGTCCACAAGTTGGAATTAATCAGGTCAAGGTGTATTGCAAAGCGATGTATGACATCATTGCCAACGTAAACCTGATAGCGAGGTTCGTTTATCACTAGGAATAAATGTTTAACTGTCCTATTTCCGATAGAAATAGATAGTAAATATTTTGCTATCACATTGTGACTCTCTGATTCGCCATCCAGATTCTGGATCCACCTGTCATGTGGGGAATCGTACCTGATCATTTTAGGATTAGCGATCTGCTTTAACAGACTTCTGCTAATATAGCTGTTCTCACTCTGTAAGTCCAGCTTTGCATTCCTACTTCTTCCTAAGTCATTTATCTGAATAGGAAAGAATAAGTTGTTATTAACCCTTTCAATTCTGGCAAGGAATTGAGCATGACCTGCCAGATCTACAGACCCAACATAGTCCCCGTGGAGAGAAATGGTTAAAACATCACCTTCCAGAGAGACATTCTGGATCTTCTCTGGAGCAATTCTTATGGAATGCTCAGCTACAGGTGCGATTGCATCATTCACCTGCAGGATAGTCACGTCAGGTGACTGACTATTCCTAAAATGTACCTCAATCGAGTCAGGTCTTTCTTCTATCACATGGCAGTTACGATCAGATTGTACATGTGATTTCTCATAGGTTATAGGAACCTTAGCTTGTGACCATACAATTCCATTCACACAGTCAATAATTGTGTTAAGTCTTCTGAGTATGTCTATACCCAGAATCAGTCGGTGATAGGGGAGATCTACCACTATCACCGGGTGTCTAAAGGTTTTGATACCTATTTTAAACTTTAACCAGGTATTGCCAATAACATGAAGGGCATTTCCTCCTACACTCAACAGAGCATTGGGGAAGTCTCTTAGCTTCGGCTTATCCGTTGCTAAGTCCATTACCTGCTGGAGGTAGGTATTGGATAAGATAGTGGCTTGTGAACCAGTATCTATTAATCCTTTGAAAGGCTGGGGTAGCGAATCCTGTATTTCTACAGACATGTAGTACCTTCCTTCATGTTCTTCTAACTCACATAAGAATTTAGAATGTGTCAACATATTACTTGTTTTCCATACATTACCGGTCACAGCAGTAGTTTCTACCTGTACTGAGGAATGCTCAGTCTTACCCACAGGCCCATCCTTTTTAGGAACATCTTGAACTGTCAAGCGGGAAATAGTGGTCGGCATCTCATCAGTTAACCCTTTCAGGTCTGGATCCTGAAAACTAGTGGTTGCTGGGGCTACTTTAGCCTTTGGCTGAAATGAAAAAACAGAGGAACACGTTGCGCCTCCTTCGCCCGGAAGTGAAGTGACGGGATAGGCAATAGGTTTCCTAACACAACTATTGTTTATATGACTGTTAGTACCTGGGAAGGAAACAGGGTTAGGCATTACATCTACTGATAACCTAGCCTGTTTAGTCACAGAAGCTATTATTGCTGCGGCAC